TCTTTATGAAAATTGCATTTCTTCCATTTTTAAGAGTTGCAAAAATCCTAACAGTTCTAACAGAATTGGTGAAAATTCCAAGTCAAAGTTACCTCTGAAACTTAAGGCAAACTCTTAACTGTGAACCCCTGTAAAAATAAAAAAGAAAGTTGAACAGTGCTGACCTACAAATGGCCCATTTTCATTAAAAAAGGAAAGAATAGGCCAGTAGAAAGAAATAAGAATAAAGCAAGACAGAAACCCAGTAGGCCAAACATGAAATTCTGCATCTCTGTGTCCAGCACACAAGACAAGTTGTGATGAGATGTGAATTCCACAGGGGTTGGGAGGCCATGCGCTTACAGCATTGCCAGTGGGTGTAGACCTTGTGGCTTCTCTCTTGGGATGGCTGTATCACACCTTGCAGCTTTCCTTAGATGTTCTTGGTTCCTCCAACTTTCTGGGGTCTCCACTGCATTTTCAGCTTCATTCTCACGTGTCATGGACTGCCCTCTCAGGGGTAAACTGCCTGGTATTCCAGACATTCTGAAATCTGGGTGGAAGCCTCCTAACACCACAACTCTTTTTTTTGGGGGGGGGTACCTGGGATCAAATTTAGGACCTTGCACTTTCAAGGCAGGTGGTGGAACCACTGAGCCAAATCCCCAGGCCCAAATCCACAACTCTTGCATTCTGCATCCTATAAAACCAGCACCATGTGAATGACAGCAAGGTCAGCTACCAGCTTGAGCAGTAGCTGGGCTTTCTTGAATTATGGTTGCAGAGGTCTCCAAGTGCTTGGATGGCTGAGTGATATTAACTGAATCTCAGGAAGCAAAGGCAGCCACTGTTCTGGAGTGTGGTTACCTGACCCTATCTTCTCCAAGCAAACACTTTCACTGTTGCAATTTTGAGCCTGCAAAGGATGGGGCCTTGCAAGACTCTCAGATTTCCTCATGGCGTTTTTTCCTCTTGTCCTGACCCAAAGTACTTGGATTGTTTTTAAATGCTAATATTTTCAGCAACCAAGCAGTCCTCTGCTCCAACTGTATAGGCCTGTAGTTTATCAGCAATTCCTTTCAAGCCAAAATCAAAACTTTAAAAATCACTCATCTGTGCCATTCATTCTTTATTCTCAATGTATAGCTGGCTAAAACCAATAAAAGTACCTGTGTCACAGTCTCAGTTTAGGCTGCCTCCAAATTTCCTTCACTAGATTAGCCTGCCGCCTTTAATCTCAGTCTCCTACAGAGTCTCAGGACATAAGCAAAATGTAGATATTTTTGTGAGAGGATAACACACATGACCTGGATCCCAACTGCTGATGGAGTTCTTGTTCCAATCTGAAATCTCCTGAGCCTGACCTTTACTGACTCTATTGCTATCTGCCTTGCAGTCTTCTGAATTCTGACTAGAAGCTCAGCTTACAGCCTTGTAGGGCTTCCTACCCAGTTTCTCCAGTCCTTTTCAGACTTCTCATGTGAACCAGTTGCAAAAGCTTCTGAACCATATGGTCAGGTACAGTACTGGCAATGGCTTCACTTCTCTGGTACCAAAATCTAGTCACTTTTCTCATGTCTGGGCAAAATACATGACATCTGCGATTATGACACATTTTTTAGAGGTTTCAGTTCATAGTGGGCTGGCACCAAGGCAGGAGGGCATGGCAGAGGACAGATGCTCACAGCATGGCGACAGGAAGTAAAGAGAAGGGACAGGAAGGGGAGAGAGACCAATCCTTCCAGTCCACACCCTCAATGAACTGCCTCTTCTGACCTGACCTTATGTCCTAGCAGAAAGTCAGTTATAAGCCCCCACAATCCAATCACCTTCCAAAAGCCTACATGTGAATGAATACGTGAGGCTCTTGCTAGCGTCTGCATATAAACTGTTAGTCACCTTATAAGATTTAATAAAAAGTACACATTTAACAATAGAGATAAATATGTATTCATAGGCTATTGTGGAAAAAGGTGCTGTGTGTGATAGTGTTTTACAGACTGTAACTTTGAATTTTTATTGACAGCTTTACAACTATGCAGTATTTTCACCTTGATTTTGGTGTCATTATACATTTCAAAAATTACACTTCTAAGAAATAATATGAAAAATTTGGAATAAATGACAAAGAAGTTTAATCCTTTTGCATAAAACCTCTTCAGTAGAATGTTTGTGTTGCATATTATTCCTCATGTATGGAAAATATAATCTACAGAGGCTCTTAAGTACAAATTCAACTAATTTTCAATGGAATCAGGAAGAAGACTGAAAACTTCAAATCCTTTTCTGGCCTTTGGAAGTGTACATGAATGTATGTGTCATAGGTGAATGTACACATGCACGCACTTAGTAGGTTTCATTAAATGTTTATTGATAAATATTAAATCACTTTTTTCTGGAGCATAGAATCCCTAGCTATAGTTTCTATAAGACTAGCCACTAGGAAATGCTTATCTAGCAAAGTCCAATTTATAGTTTTAATTTTGTCTGGTTATGTTTTACTAATGAGGGTATAAGGCCTATAGATCAGGGATTGTAATTCTGTGTCCTTCAGAGAATTTTGCATAGTTTCCAGAAGTTTCTGTTACTGACAGTGTACTACTACTTTTTTGAACTCTTAGAAGAGCAAATAGAGAACATTTTATTCCATAGGAAAATCATCTGATTTCCCCTTTGTGGAAATGAATCAATCCATCTGCATGTACTTCTGAGGACTATATATTCAGCACTGTGATAGGTTAAATTTTTTTTTTTGGTACCAGGGATTTAACTTGGGACCTTGTGCTTGCAATGCAGGTAGTGCAACCACTGAGCTAAATCCCTGGCTGGGTTAAGTCTTAATATCTGTTGTTTAATTGATTGCTCACCAGTCCAGAGAGTGATTTGTGTTTTCATGGTGGTTTGTAGATGAAAAATGTCTAAAAAATAGTGGATAATATATATGTGTGTGTGTGTATATATATATATATATGTATATATATGTATATATTTGAACTCTCCAAGGATATGAAGATTTTTCTTAGAATGTTCTTTTAAAAAACAACTTTACTGTGATAGAATTTACATGAATAGTATATGATACTTTACATTCAACTTCTTTTGAACTTTAACCACCACAACTTTAAAACATTTTCATTACCACAAAAATAAATTTGTACCTTTAGCTATCATTTCTATGGTGGTTAATTTTATTTTATTTTATTTTTTTGGTTTTTTGAGACAGGGTCTCACTATGTAGTTCAGACTGCTCTGGAACTCACTGTGTAGCCCAGGCTGGTCTCGAACTCACAGCGATCCTCCTGCCTCAGCCTCCCGAGTGCTGGGATTACAGGCATGTGCCACCACGTCCAGTTTATGGTGGTTAATTTTAAATATCAACTTAGTTTGGGTCATGGTGTCCCGATGTATGGTCAAACATTATTATGGATATTTCTATGAATATATTTTTGAAATCAACATTTAAATGGATGGGCTTGAACTACATTGTTCTATGTCTCTAGCCCATTAGCTCTGCATATTTAGACTTACCATAAGTAAGGTAATGATTAATTTTAGGTGTCATCTTGACTGAATTAAGGAATATTCAGATAGCTGGTAAATAACTATGTCTCATTATGTTTGTGAGGGTGTTTCCAGAGGCGATTGGCATTGGAATCTGTAGATTCAGTAAGGAAGACCATCTTCATTTGGTGGGAAAGCACCGTCTAGTCTGTGGAAGATCCAGAAAGAACAAAATGGCAGAGGAAAAGTGAATTTGCTCTGGGTTCTGGAGAGAGCCTTTCATCTTCTTCTGTCTTTGGACCTTAGAACTCTAAGATTTCTTGGTCTTCAAACTCTGGACCTTGTGCCAGATTCTTAGGTCTTAAACTTAGGTCTTGGCCTTAAACTGAGAGTTAAAACATTAGATCTTCTTGTTCTCAGACCTTTGGACTTGAACTGAGTGATACCGCCCGCTTTCCTGGCTGTCCAGCTTGCAGGTGGCACATCATGGGACTTCTCAGCCTTCATAATTATGTAAGCCAATTCCAGTAATAAATCTTCCACCCTCCCCTATTGCTTCGGTTTCCCCGGAGAACCTTACTATAATTGTATAAGGTAATTTATTTCTCGCTTTTCTTTCATTCCTCCTCACTCCGCCCTCTCTCCATTCCTCTCTGTCTCTCTCTTCCCTTTCCAAAATGTGCATGTTGTTTACTTTTAAGAACACTTTGTGACCGTGAAGTACAACACATCTTCAGGAGGAATCTTTCATTTCACGGTCATGCACCAGTGCCATGCAGATGACATGTTATTTAGTAAGAACGGTGACCTGTGGGGATCTGCTCCTGAGTGGAGACCCACTTGTGTGTGATTGCCTCCCTTGCTGGTGTCACCATTTTAAATTCCTGGTAGCTTGATCATGTCTGAAGCCTTCCTCTGCACCACAGCAGCAGGCTTTGCTCATCAGCCAGCCATGTTAGTACCTGGCTTTCTTCTTAAGGTTAAAAACAAAAGGGAATTTTCTTTGAAGGCACACAGGCATGAGACATAGCCCTCTTTACTGTCCAGTACGGCACAAGAAGATACACTTCAGAAAAGACACTGACATGGAGGGCAACACCAAGGACAGACTGCGCATAAAGACATGGTGGACCTGCCGGAAATAGTGCCTGTGGACTGCTGATGGTCTGATCGCAGGAATCGCAAGAACAGTTTTTAAAAATCCTTAGCACAAAAGAGTCTCTTATACATCTGGAACCATATCATTTGTTCTTAAAAGCATGGTACTTAAGTGTCACAAAGCTTTCCTTCCAATCTACTGTTAGGAAAGCACTCATGCCATGGCTGACAGATCCACAGGACTCAGAGAAAGAAACTTGTTCTTTAAAAATAGAAAAGGCAAAAAAATAAAAAGCTTCTTTTTAATGAAACTAATCAAAAAGATGTAATTAGTCCTAAATTGTGCGTTTCATTTGCCTGGAGATTAAAAAGTAAGAGGATTTTAGGACAAGTGAAATAAACCCAAGAAGAGACTACACATGCTACTGGTGGTTTCTTCTGGCAGGAGCTGGTGTTGAGGCCACCAGGCTGGACATGAATGCAGCAGACACAACCTTCTCTTTGCTCTGCCTCAGGCTGGTTTGAAGTCTGTGTCCATGTCTCCATGGATGTCACCATCTCCATTCAGAGCTAAGAAATCTCTGCAGCTTGCTTCAGACAAGTTTGTACTCTCTGGTCCCAATAATTTCCAATCTATCCTGTCCCCTCTAGACTTCGCACCTATGATGTATATAGCCCAAGAAGGGGGATTTTCTCCAAGTGTCCCAAAGACGTTCAAGGTCATTTTGTTCTTCCTCATGGGCTGGTGTGTTGCTTCATTAAAGCCTAATGAAAAATTGGACCCACCACCTGGAAGGAGCAAGCCTTGGGAGCTATTCCTGCTGTGGGGGTTGACGCCCTTGAAGGTGGTGGCAGTGGTCACAGGACTAAGGAGTGAAGTAGGCAGGTGGGCAAGAAAAGTGCTGAAAAGGTTGGGCCCAAGAGGTACAGGGGCACTACAGACCCACAGCCAGTCACTGCGGTGGAGCCTCAATACTGAGCTAAATTCTTAAATATTTTTCCATATCTAATTGGCTCTGTTGCCCTGGAAAATTCTGACTGATATAAATCCCTATCCCCTACTCCATTTCTCCTCTCCCTGATTTAAGCCCTAAGTCACTTTTATGGTTTAGATCTTGAATGTCTACTCAGAGCTGTATGTGTGTAGAGGAGGGATTGGAAGGTGATTGGATTATGGGGAACCATTAGCTGATTGTGTGGCTAGGAGAAGGGGCCTGCTCAAAAGAGGCAGGGGACTGGGGATGTGACGTGGAAGGATGCGTGTTTCTCTCTGGCTTTTTCCCTCTCGCTGCTTCCCAGCTGCTGTGACTTGCGGAGCTTTCTTCCATCAGGCCCTTTCAGCATTCTGTATCTGCCTTGGAGCCAGCCAAACACGGACTGAAAATGTAAGCCAAAATAAACCCCTCCTCCTTTAAGTTGTGGATGTTGGGTATTTTGTCACAGTGATGAGAAAGTACTAAGACAGCCACTTAGTGTGTTTGTGCTTCTAATTTCTGTCTCTCTAGGTTTCCCTAGTTTGAGTTTTTATGTGAATAAAATCATATAGGATGTGGTCTTTTGTGATGGGCTTCTTTCATTTAACATGTTTTCAGTGTTTGTCTATGTTGTAGTATGTGTGAGTACTTCATTCCTTTTTTCGTTTGTTTGTTTTTTGAGGCAGAGTCTCCCTTTGTACTTCAGGCTGGTCCTGAATTCACTATGTAGGCCAGGTGACCTAGAACTCTCCATGATCCTCCTGCCTCAGCCTCCTGAGAGCTGGGATTACAGGTGCGTACCACTATGCCCAGCATTCATTCCTTTTTATGACTGAATAATATTCCATTACATGCACATAGCATATTTTATTTATCTAATTGACTATTAATGAAAATGATTGGCTATTATGTAAAATGCTCCTGTAAATGTTTGTATACAAGTTTTTATTAAGCAATATTTTAATTTCTCACTACAGTGGAATTATTGGGTCATATGGTAGATCTATGTTCCTTTGAAGAATTGCCAGACTCCAAAGCAGAGGAACCATTTTATATTCCTACAAATAATGTATGAGGGCTCTTATTCCTTCACATATATCAGTCAGGTTTCCCATTGCTTGTACAAAATACTCAACACCCCAAATTTAGAGGAGGAGAGGCTTAATTTGGCTCAGAGTTTCAGTCCATGGTCTGCAGCTATAGGAAGGAATGTTATGATGGAAAGGCAGGGTGGAACAAAGCTCCTCATTTCATGGTGCACAGAAGAGGAGCACCGCACCCCAAGGCCATGCCTCCACATGTGTGCTTTACTAATCCCTTGGGTAGTTACCAAGCCAATCAAGTTTACTATCTAGTGTAACTGTTACCAGCACTTATTATGCTAGCCGCCTTAGTGTTTGTGAAATAATATATTATAGTTTTCATTTGTATTTGGTGGATAAATGATAATGTTCAGCATCTTTTCATTTCCTTCCTTCCTTCCTTCCTTCCTTGGTACTGGGGATCGAACTTGGGACCTTGAGTGTGCAAGGCAGGCGGCAGCACCACTGAGCTAAATCCCCAGTTCATGTGCTTATTCTTGACCATTTACATGTCTTCTTTGGAGAAATTTATTTCTATTTGTTCAGATGCTTTACCCATTTTGGAAGTGGGTTTTCTTCTTATTGATTTGTAAATATCCTTTACATATACAAGACACAAATCTTTTGTCCATATATAATTTGCAAGTACATACTCCCATTTCTTAGATTGTCTTTATTTTCTCGATAGTGTTCTTTGTATACAAAAATTTTAGTTTGGATGAGATTCTGTTTATTAAGTTTAATGTTTTCTACTCACAATTTAGGTGTCATATTAAAAAAGTCCTTTGCCAAATCTGAGATTATAGAGATTTCCTTCACATTTTTTTACATTTAGGCCTTTGATCCATTTTGAGTTACTTTTTATATGTGAGATAAAAGTTCAACTTCATTTTTTGGCTTACAGCTAAGCTGTTGTCTCAGAATCATTTGTTAAGAAGTTTATTCTTTCTTCACAAGATCAATTAACCTCAGATATACAAGCTTATTTCCTGATTTTCAATTCTATTCCACTGGTTTATATGACTTCCTGGTATCAGTATCATTATGTCTTGATTACTGTTGCTTTGTAGTAAGTTTTGAAATTGAAAAGTGTGATTCCTCTTAGTTTATTCTTTTGCAAGATTATTTTGATTGTTCTGTATCCTTTGCGATTCCACATGAGTTTTAGAATCAGCTTGTCTATTTCTATAATTCATCTGTGATTCTGATACAGATTTCATTGGCTCTTTAGATTATCTTAGATAATAATTTCATTTTATACATGTTAAATCCCATGCTCATGGGATGTTTCTCCATTTATTTGGATCTTTTAAAATTTCTAGAAGTAATGTTTTGTAGTTTTCAGAATACAGATTTTTTGTTTTTTTGTTTTTTTAGTGTTTTTTGAGACAGGGTCTCACTATGTAGTTGAGACTGACCTGGAACTCACTATGTAACCCAGGCTAGTTTGGAACTCACAGTGATCCTCCTGCCTCAGCCTCCCAAGTGCTGGGTTTACAGGTATGCACCACCACACCCGGCTAGAATACAGATTTTTCACTTCTGCTAATTTTTCCTGTTTTATTGTTTGCTATTATTATGAGTGGAATTATTTTTCTAATTTCAACTTGTTCATTGGAAGTGTATAGAAGTACAATTCAGTTTTGAATATTGATCTTATATCCTGCAATCTTTCTGAACTTATGTATCATTTCTGATAGGTTTTTTTTTTTTTAAAATTTTTGAGATAGGGTCTCACTATGTAGTCCAGGCTACACTTGAACTTGTGGTGATCCTCCTGCCTTAGTCTTATACATTCTGGGATTACAGGTACGTGCCACCACACCTGGATTCTAATAATTTTTTAGCGGTATTTTAGGATTTTCTATATACAAAATCAGGTTGTCTGCAAATAGAGATGGTTTGATTCCTTTTCTTTCAATTTGGATACAATCATTCATTAATTTATTCCTCTATCTTGCCCAAGGCCATGTCTAGAATGTCAAGTACAATGTGATAAAGAAGTGATGAGAAATGGTATCCTTGTCTTGTGCCTCATCCTAAGGCAAAACATTCAGTGTTTTGCTGTTTAGTATGATGTGAGCTGTGGATTCTTGTAAATGCTTTTTTAGTCATAGTTTTTTTATTTCTCTAGATATATTTTTATGAGGACTACTTTGAAATTCTTTTCTGATAAATTTGACATTTGATTACTTCACAGGCACATTTTTGTTACTTTTTTTCTTTTCTGGAGAATAGGTTATACTTTCCTTTTCTTTGCACATCTCATAATTTTGTTGTCTTTGGTAACTGGACATTTTAGATAATATATCTACTCTGGGCATTGGTCATCCACTAGAGCATGTTATTGTTATTTGTTTGTTTATTTGTTTAGTGATTGGCTCTCCCCTGTCCTTTTTGGTGTCTCTTACCTTCACAATGTTAAGCATCTGATTCTGCTCCTCAGAGAGGCAAAGCTTTGGTTATGCCTCATTTGCCTTGGGATGACAGCAGCAATCATTAAGGCCCTCAACCACTCTTTCCCTGACCACATCAAACTGTTAAAGGCCACTAATTGTTGATCCACTGAGATGTTATGTATAAATCCTCTGGAGCATATTTTCTTCTGTATACTAATACAATCAATTCTGGATTTTTGAAAAGAATAATATTTGAGGTCCATATTTGACAGTTTTTGGAATCCGTGAGGTGTCATTTCAGCTGTCTTATTCCTCAGTTCTCTTTTGCAAACTAGCTAGACTTATAGTATAGTAGGCTTTTTCTTCATTAAGTCCACAGTCTCCTGACTGCTTTTCATGATAGCCTCCACTAATTTTGACAGTGGTCATTGGTTTAAACTTCTTAAATTTATTACCCCTTTTGCAAACAAACTCATTCTTTTGGAAGAGGTTAGGAAGCTCTTTGTTTTATGCTTTCTTCTCCTTTGAGCAAAATCTCTGAGCAAAGACTCAGGAGCTGGAGCTTGGACAATGGCAAACTTCTGTCTAGTGACACCTCCACTGTTGGAGCTGAGCAGGAGTAAGGAGTGAGTAGCCTAAGGTCTTCTTGGCTTGCCTTTTTCACTGCATTATGCCATAAAAAGCAAGGGAAGAGTTATCTGAGCCCCAGTATTATCAATGTCCGTTGCACAGTGTGCTGTGACTCAGTTGCACAAGTCTCAGTCCCACAAGTGGGAGTTGGACAGAAGAAGGACCACACTTACCTACAATTTGGCCTCAGCCACAGTTAGTGGAGGGTAAGATGAGAAATACTTATTCCTCCTGGGAAGGGAGTCTTCCGACTTATGGCCATTTCTGTTTATTTTTTAAATAATTTTCAGTGGCCCATGGGTCAGTGGAGGTCTTCATAGTGCCATGCCACTGCTCATAGTTGTGTTAGACAACTATCCACTAACCTGGCATTATGGGGACTCATACAACATAAGCCCCAAAGAGAGTCTCTAAAATGGGAATTTAGAGTCCTTTAGGCAGCATCTAAACAGATCATTTTTTGAAACATGGGTCTGCTTGATAATTTGTAATTAGAGATTCTTGGGAAGATCCAGCTTCCCCTTTGTATTCCTTCTAAGCATTGCTCTATGATATAGTGGTGACAGCTTTTTTTTTTTTTTTTTTTTTTTTTTTTTTTAAAGAATCAGGGATTGAACTCAGGACCTTGTGCTTGTTGGGCAGGTGCTTGCACCACTGAGCTAAATCTCTGGCCTAAGTAGACATTTTAAAATAGTCAGTCGGTGATAGTATTTCTTTGATTTAAGATTACACTAGCTCAATAGCTAACATTAAAAATTGTCACTTATCCCTCAGTAGCCAAACCTGCCGATGTGAGCCATGCAGTTGTACAGTAATAGCAGAGCTCTCCACATGACCTCACCCTATTGGTAGTTGACCTGCCTGGCTGGTCTAGAGGCAAACCTCTAACTTGTTGGCATATGTTACTTGTGATAGTTTGGGATGAATTATGTAGCATTATGTCTAGCAATCTGTGACAGGCCAATCTTTCACTTCCCACTAAATAGCAAGACATCTAAAAAGCAAGCATCTACATCCCCTAAAAATGGCCATAAGTGCAAACAGAAAACGAAGAAACATCTAGGCACAAAAATGTAGGGGAATTCTTAAGCACAAAGAACATGCTCCCCACTCCCAGTTCAGTGAAGTAGAGGTTCCATTCAAAACTGCCACAGCCATGAAGACAGGGCTTTCTCTTCCCCAGGTCCTAGTGGGTTTCCTTCCCAGGAGGAACGAGTATTTCTCATCTTACCCTTCACTTCCTGTGGCTGTGGCTAAATTCTAGATGAGTGTGGTCAAGAGTTGGGCCTCCTTCCCACTGCTAAATAGTAGTGTGTAAATAAAAAGGGCAGAAGCTCTTTAAAATTTTACTGTATGGGAAGGCATAACATTTCTATTCCCATCCCAAGATATATTCAAATATCTTAAAGAAATCACATATATCATTCTCTCTCCAAAAAAAAACAGATTCTTTGCTTTCATATGAAAGAAAACTAAATAAGCTAAGGACATAGTAATGAGAAATTTTCTGAAATAGAGATAATTTTAACATTTTTGGCAATATTGATAAAACTCAGCATTTTTGGATTTTATTTTATGTCATCATGCTAATCACTAAAATCTGATCATCCCATATTTTATTTTTTACTGGGTTTAGATAATCTAATGTAAAAAAAAAAATCTCCTAGGGGATGAGGATTTAATTTAGTGGTGCTGCCACCTGCCTCGAAAGTGCAAGGTCTTGAGTTCAATCCCTGGTACTAAAAAAAGAAAAAAAAAATCTCCTACTCTTGGTTATGATATGCAAATGCTTATTTTCATTAACTGCTTTGTTTTCTCCCCTTTCCATGGTTGGTAGCACTAGGCCTACATAGGGACTTTTAAAAGTGTTTAGTGAAAAAAAAAAAGTCCTTTGAGTAAACATTCTTTCCAGTTTTCAGTTGAAAAATGGTTGTTTTTTAAGAATTGTGTTGCCAACTGTTCCACTTTTCATTTTGAAAGGTGCATGCTTTTGTTACAGAATTTTTCAAATAGTTCAGGTTAAGGCCAGGTATGTTAGGCACTCTTAGTAGGATTCATTTCTTTAAGAAATAGCAGCTATTTAAAAAGATGAGTAGAGAAAAAGGAAGGGAAGAAAAGAAAATAAAGTAAAACTTTTTCTAAGGATATAGCTTTAGTCATGGGATAGATGCCGATTATTTTTTTCCTCTTCATTGTGAGAAGTGTTTGAAAATCATCTGTCTTGCAGATCATGTATCAATCTTGACCTTGTCATTTTAATCCAATAGTAAATAGAAAACAAATGTTTTTTCCTCTCTAAAAGTATGGTTATGACATCTTGCAGAAGTATTTTCAGTAAGTTAAATTAAAGATGATAAGCTATTTCTTCCTGTTTTGACTACTGTCATTGTGTAGGAGAGGGACAGCATTCCATGGACTTGTTTTAATTATCCTATTGCTATTCACCATAACATCTGCTGGCATTGGCGAGCTTACCTGATGGACCACAAAGAGCCCTGATTTATGAACCCATAATTGACTTTCCAATAAA